ATTCTGCTCTGTCACCTCACACTCCTCTGGGAACACCATGGACGCTGTGAAGTCCTGGGCTTCAGTCTCCCACAAGAGACAACCTATCCCCTGAAGGCTCAGGTCCCACCGGGTCCTCCTGCAGCGTTAGGTCAGAGTCACCAAGCAGCCGGACTAAAGAGCAGGTCCCCGGTGGCAACTACTGCTTCACATCCCATCAACTTGTAAAGATTCGGGCCATCTCCAAAAGCACTCCGTTATGGCTTGTCCCCACAAATGTAGGGGAGACAGCGTGTCCAGAGACATGGACTGCCCATGCCCCTGAGCCGAGGGCAGAGGCTGCAGGACTGGGAAATCTTCCTGGCAAGGTGGAGGGAAACTGTGGCCTCCTCTGTGAATGTCAGGGGTTCCCCTTCTCCCTTGTCCCGCCCCCTCTGCCCCCCCGGCCCACGGAGCTGTGCCAATAATCTCCGCACCAGGAAGATCACCACTCTGACACCACCTGTCCCCCCCCCGTCCCGTTCCTTGGAGAGCACATGTAAAGGCTTCTCCTTTATCTTCACCAACCGTAAGAACAGATGCTAAGCTTCACTAGGACCCAATGCATTCCTTGTCTGCAGATCAAGAACCTCAAGAGCTGAATCCCTTTCCCCACCATGTCTCATTTGCCCTCTGCCCCGGGGACTAGACTGTGTAGACAGGACTGCCATGAGGACCTGTTCCCTTGACAGGCTGGATGTGAGCTGGCAAAGGACCCAAGGCGTCGAGGGCCTGGACAGGCCTTGCCGGTGGGCTTTAAGAAAGAAGAAAAGACCTGCTCTGTTCAAGAACCACGTGAGGAAGACAAGAACAAGGCAGAATTGTCAGACTGCTTCCGATCCTGGTTCTGTTCTCATTTACTAGAGCCAGACGTCCTAGCAACAGAGACCTCAGTGAGGAAGGCTAGAGCTGAGGGTGGCAACCCAGTGCTGGACTGGGGGAGCAGGGAGTGTGAGGGGGGGTGGTGGTGGCTGATGGCGAGAACATGGATCCAAGCCCCTTGGCAACATTGAAAATATGGAGCCCCCTCTCTTCCTGGTCCCCCACGCTATCCTTCAGACAGCCATGCTGTGCTGGGCTGTCGGAGACCCTGTAATATCAACTCAACAATGCATGTTCTAGAGCTACAGCTACCAGGACATCTACTACAGTGCATGCATTTAGTTCAGTCCCACAGAGACATACACTCTAAGAACAGGCAGGGGAGGTGTGAAATGTTTTACTGGACAACAGGTGTTTTGGAGTTGTAACTAATAAAAAAAAATCGAAAACGAAAGTGTACAAAAAAAGACATTTCTCGAGAGTTGGATATGAGTTTGTTTCTTGAACTGTTTCATCTGAACAAGCAAAAACATGCAAACCAGCTGGTACTAACAGGAAGCTGGACACTGAGAGAGGATTAATAGGTGTGGACAAACCTTCCCGCTGAGCGTGCTCAGAAGAGTGTTTGAGAGGAGGTGTGCAGATCCTAGTGTAAGAGAGGCGGGAAAGTATGCCTCAGAGACACGCTCTCACCGCAGCCCCAACCAAGCAAGAGAAAAGACAACAGAAACATGACTCTCGCACTCACCACCACCGTCAGGAGCTCATGTTACTAGACTGGAATAAAGCTGGCAAGTATAAAGTACAGTAAGGGGTCCTGGCTGGGGCCGGAGATGGGCTGGGGGGTGGCGGGTGGGCAGGGGGCTCAGAAGCTCTTCGACTGATACACAGACCCACCCCGTAATGTCCCCCAGAAATAAAAGAGCCTGAAATCCGAACCACTTCCCTCATCTGTGTGTGTGTGTGCGGGGGGGGGGGGGGGGGGGGGTCGTTGACCAAACTGGATTTAGGTTTGGGTGGGACATGATGAGGCCATCAGAACTGAATGAATACGATCAAAATAAACAAACAAACTCTCGACTGAGCACAAGAAAAGATGACATTTCAGACTACCGGGTGAAGGTAAAAGAAAAGTGACCACTGATAGTGAAGTTATCTAGGAGTCGCAGGGACCTCCCCTGGCGGGGGGTCACCTGAGCCCTGCTCACCTCAGGTCCTGCGTGAATTAGGAAAAGGCGGGCAGGCTGGCCCCGAGAAGTTTTTGAGGTGGGTGCAGAGCTCAAGGCCCCCCTGGACCTCCTACCCTGACACCATAGCCCTGAGAGATACAAGTTGCCAACCTGAGCAAAATCCAAGCTGCTTCTCCAACCCCCAACCCTGCCCACCCCACGGCCCTCAGCAGGTGCTTCTACCTCAGGAAGCTCCCCCAGTACATCATAATATGGAAGGAAGAAAAACCAAAGTGGTGGAGCTAGACAAAAATGAAAGGCAAAATAGGGCCCTCCATAGGACGCCTGATCCCTAGACCAAGCCTGACAGCCAGGCCCTGGGGAGTGGAGGCCACGTTCCCTACTGTTTGGAGTCCCCTGCCAGGGTCGGTAGAGTACCAAGCTCAAGGTCAGTACTCCACCACAGGTTCCCTATACCAGCTTCTTCCTAGAAGACGATGCGCCTGGACTTGTGATGCCCTCCAACAGCTGAGGCTGCTTGCTTTGGGGGGGGGCGGGCGGGCAGAAGGAGCACCCCCGCCCCCCGCAAGGAGCTGGCACTGGGGGGCGGGGAGGGTTGCAGGAGCAGGGGAAGGGAGAACCGGGCAGTCATCCTTCAGTGATCACCTGCTGGCCTAGGCTGATGCACAAATACAAACAAGCGTGTGCCGTCCCTCTCACATATTCGCCAAAATGCCACCAAGGGGCCACTACAACAGGTAAATAATTGGCCATCTCACCAGGCTCGGAGTCCAGATTATTTTCTAGGGGGAGGGAGGGGACAGTCCTTACAGGCCAAAATGCACTAAAAGAAAGACAGGCAGAGATCTTCCTTCCCCAACCTTGTAACCCTGCTCCAGGTCCAAAGTGGGGGGCTGGGGGTGAGGGGCTGAGCTACCCTGTCTACACAGAGGCAGGTGTCTTCCAGCCCAGGTGGTGTTCTGACTTTGGCAGGCACAGTCTAGTCGTCGCCCTGGGGCTCACCACAAGCCCCTGACCCCCAGGCAGCACTGTGGGGTGCCCTGTAGCTTCCTGGCCGAGCCTGCACCCCTGGGGCCAGGCACCTCGGAGTTGAGGATTTACTCTTTGCACTAACCTAGGCTGGTGTGGGGCAGGTGGTCTGGGAGCACGCTCCTGAATAGAATTCACTAACAGTGCAGCAATGAGCATGGCTGACCTCGAATGGCCCCTGGGAGACTTAGCTCCCGATGGAAATGGCTACAAATAAAACACCACTGATCCTGGAAAAAAAAGTGTGGTTGGAGATGGCTCTGGAGTTTGGGGTTAGGAGCTGGAGGGAGGGGGTGGGTGGGACTCCCGCCTGGCTCTGGGGGTCCGTGAGAGGGTGGGGGTGGCGGGGGGGGCACAGGCCATGGGGAGACCGCTCTCAGACTCGCAAAGAACCCCATGCTGCCCTTTAAACTTGCCATGAAGTCAAGGAGAATGGGGGTGGGGAGAGAGGCAGGGTTAATTTTGGGTTAAAGTTTAGTTTCATAATCCAAGTTATAATAAGAAAGAAACTGAACGGAGAAAACATCCAACAACACTCAAAAATCTCGAGTTTTCTTTTTGTCGTCCCCCCCACCAGGCACAGGTAGGACAGAGGCTCGTTTGTAACGATACCAAAAAGCACTCAAGTTAAAAAACCAAACAGAACAGGGAGACACCAGGCAGGCGCGCCCGCCCCCAGGGCAGGGGCACCAAGGGACACGGGCCTGAGGGCAGGTGGGGGCCGCTGGAGGCTGAGCACGGGCGCCCAGCTCTCTGGCTAACTGGCCCTCAACAGCCCCCAGACAATTCCCGGCCCCTCCAAACAAATCCCCAGTGGGTGATTCCGGGGAGTGGATCCTTTGTAGCTCGAGGCAGTGCCAGTTTGCATGGAACGGATTTTTACTGATGTTTCTAAAGGGACTCACTGTGCCAGTCTCTTATCACTGAGGGTTTGGGTTTTTGGCATTTGCCCTCTGGGCTTTTAATGCCCCATTTCCTGGTACCCCACCAGCACCTCCCTCCCCCTGCCCTCCTCAGAGGCCTGTCAAACTAATTCGTTCCCGGGGTGCTCCCGTGCCCTGTCCATGGGGTATAGGGGAGAGAGCCGCAAACCGTGGCTACTGAGTCTAGGAGGAGCAAGGGCCCCTCAGCGGCTGGGGCGTGGAGGCCAGGAGGCCTCCCTGGGAGCCGGGCACAAAGCAGAAACCCCGCTTGCTTAGGAAGGCGGGGAGCATCTGGGGGGGAGAGACAGAAGGCCGCTCTGGGGCCTGCATCCTGGACATACCCAGCTCTAGCCTGAGCCCACAGTGCTGCTGGGGAAAATGTTCCCACCTCAGCTGAGGGGCTCCAGACCTCCTAAGAGGCGGGGTTTGGAGACCAAAGGACCAGGGCAGTTCTGTGGGAGAGAAAACCCCCAGTTCCCTCGGCAGGTGGAGTCCAGGAGCTCTCTGGCCTCTGCTCGGAGGATGCAACAGGGACTTCAAGGAATCACTCCATTTCAATCCCAGGACCGGGCTTTGAGCTGCATCAGCAAGGCCACCCACCAGGTGCAGCAGGGGCCTGGAGGCCAGGAGCTTCCCTCTCACTACCCGGAACTTCTCTGGCTAGGTCAGAGGCCCAAGGAAGGGCGCCTCGTGAAAGAGGGAAAGCTGAGGAGGGAAATGCGGCAGGTGCCCTGAGGCCGGCTGTCAGGTGAGGGGGCCATCCAGAGCCAAAAAGAAGGTCACTGCTCTTCTTACGAGGAGAGAGTAAGAGTCTACCTTTGGTCTGCAGTCCCGCGACTGGCCCCCACTGGGGGCTGCCCGGGGGGGCGGGGCCTCACCCACGCCCACCCCCCTGTCCCCACCCTCTGGGCTGTGGCGACAAGAGTGGACAGACGCAGCCACACAGATCCAACAGGGCCTTTACCTTCCCCGCACACTGGGGCATGCCTGGGAGCGCCTGTCCCGCACACCTCCCTACCTGAGCCTCTCGCCGCCGCCACCGCCGCCGCCGCCACTGGTCCGTAAGCCGCTGCCGGGAAGCCTGGCGGGGAGAGAGGAGCTGGAGTGAGGGCCGAACCCTGGCATGGGCCCCCCAGCACAGCCCGGGCTCACAGGCCACGCTCCACCCTGCCTCCAGAGCATGGGAGCGCGAAGGGAGCTCCGCGGGGTGGCCTTTAGGAGGGACCCAGGTCAGTGGCTCTCAGGCTTCTGGAAGGCATAGCACCTTCAGCTGGGTTTGATTCCTACACGTGTCACCCCAGAAACTAGTCCGAGAAGGCACACCGAAATAATCTCAGAGGATGAGGAGGATCTTCTCTTGGGAGCAGGGCGGGGTCCCTGCTGTCCTTGCCGTGACCGAGGGGGTCCCCCAGGGTGTGTCCAGGGCAGCGCCAAGCATGGCCCAGTGACCCCCGGAGCAGGTGGCCCCGAGCCTCTGGGCAGCACAGGCACCTGGGCCAGGAGTTGGCTGAACTCCAGCTGCTCTCCTAAGGCTCTGCTGGTCCGGACTCTGGAAAGCCTAGCGCTAGCAGCATCCCAGCCCCAGGCTGGAGGACGAGCTGTGCGGGGAGGCCTGGCTGGCCTCCTGCGTACACATGAAGGCAGCTAGGGGAGGGAGCGGGCAGCCGTAGGGACCGATGTGGGGTGAGCCCTGTGGCTTTGTCTCTCTGTTTCAAGCTCCCGAGGCACATTATGGGGATTTCGATCTGGCTCTTCTATCTGAGCTCCACATGCTGCTGATCAAGTCGGCAGTGAAGGGTCTCCTAGGGATCTCCATCAGTGCTTGTCCATCTAATAACACCCCGGGCAGCAAGGCTGTCCCAGAAATGGGACTGAAGGTCAGAAGGGACAAAGTGACCCAGTGTGGCTGCAGAATGTCCAGGGGAAGGAAGAGGTGGGCGAGTCCCCTCCCCTGGACTTCTCTTGGCCACTAGCATAATGCACACACAGTCACACTCACACGCGGAACAATCACCATCTGCCATCCAAGCAGACTTCTCAAGGCCTGATTTCAAGACCCATTTCCAAAGGCTGTGGTTTTAAACGATGCGCCAGAAGCCAGCAGCAAACAACGGGCAGCCAGACAGCTGCTCAGCTGTAGCCACTGGGCCTTCCAACTAGGGACCTGCTAGAGGACCAAGTGGGGGACACATGCACCGCGGTGTGGGGGCAGGGAGCAGGGGGAGGAAAGAAAGGAAAGAGAGCCATCCCCCAAACACAGCGAACTAGAAGCCCACTAAAGTCTAAGACTATTGTCCTAGCTACACGGAACTACTGGGGAGGAAAAGAAGTTCAAAAAGGAACAAGCTACTCTAAAAAGGTCAGGCTAAGCTACTTAAAATGTCAATGAAAAAAGACATACTTGCATTTAAATATGGTAATAGGGCTGTTGAAGGGGGAAAAAGAAAGATCCAGGTGAAATACGGGTACAAGGTCATCCCTGGCTGCTGGAATGGGTCTCCCAGCTCCCATGAAGACCCCCCATGTGCCAGGAGACCGCTCCCTCCCCCGAGGAGGCTGCCAGGGACCCATGCCACCTGAGACCCATGAAGGCACTCTCCCACCAAGTCCTTTCCCCCTCTCTTCCAAGCAGGATCTAGGTTTCTGGAAATGTGGGTGGTGGCAGAAAGTGCTGAAGAAAGTAAGGAAGAAGTCAAGTCATTTCTCCCTGTCCCAACCTCCGCACACCAGGCCCCCCCGCTGCAGGCACACGCAGCAGAGCTCAGGGGACCCTGAAGGAGAAGGAAGCAGACGGGGAGAGAAGGAAGGTCAAGTTACTCTTTTGCACTCCTCACCCGTACTCGAAACGGGTTTCCTCTTCCTCGGAAGCATGAAAAGGTGCGGCGGGGGGGGGGGGGAAGGGAAGGGGGGCAGAACCAGGGGGAGGCGCGTTTCGTCAATAAAAAGACATTTAACAAAAGGTCTATTTTCTGGAGTCAAGTGCATTTTTGACCAAAAAAAAAAAAAAAAAAAAAGTCCTAGAGAAAGAGGAAGAAAAAAAAAACTTATCCAAGAAAGGAAATCCATTATCCTTAATCTCAGATAAAGGTTTCTGCTGGAGACTGAGCATCAGACACCGCTAAGGGCTGGAATTTCATCTCAACCATCAAGCAGGGTTGAGCAGACTGACAGGTCTGAGAAGAGGCCGGGGGAGGAGAGCTCAGTCTGCCCCCCACCCCAGAGCGGGGAGCCCACAGCCCTCGCAGTGACTCCATCTGAAACACCAGGACCACAGCCCATGGCCCAGCCCAGCCTCTGTGGGAATCTGTCCCGGACCACTTCCCCAGCTCCCTGCCATCCCCCTCCTGTCCTCTTAGGCCGTTCAGCTGCACTGGTCACCCCACATACATTCTTCAGATGACCTCGCGGATAAGCCCGACACTATTACCAGGGGACCCCCATGGGCTAACACAGATCCAAGAAAGGGGAGTGTATGCATGCATGTGTGTGTGGTGGGCTGAGGCTGCCCCAGCCAGGGGCTGTCAGAGGCCAAAGAAGCATAGTGACCCTGGCCTAAAGCTGTCCTGATGGAGAACAGCCTGTCTCTAGGACAGCAGGAGACACCCGAGGACCAAGAGGCCCCAGCCCAGGGACTGTGGTGGAGATGAGCCCTCCTGGGCTGGACCTGGACCTGGACTTGGAAGAGCTGGGGGTGCAGGGAGAAGAAGCCTTCCAGACTTGCCTCGTGGTCCTGTTTTCAGCATATCTCCCCAGGCCCCGAGGAGCCAGGGGTCATCTATGGCAGCCTCGCTGTCCAGGAAACCTCTCATTTTATTTTTGGAGGGAGAGGGGGTCTGGGCTGCCGAGGAGAGAACTGCCCCGGTTGGGGGTACTCAGGAGAAGACCTTGGGGGGATTAGGCAGAAGGTCTGACAGGGCTCAGGCTTCTTGCTGGGGCTGAGGCCCAAGCAGAGATACATGGCAGAGCCCCTGGCCCCTGAGTGCCCATGGCTGCCTAGCACCCCACTCACTGCCCAGAATAGGTGACCATTTCTTCTCTGCTGCTGGGAATGTGGGCAGAGGCTCTTATGAGACAGGTGAGCACAAATCTTGGGTTCAAATCCTGGCTCAGCCATTTACTAGCTGTGTGACTTTGGGGACGTTGCTTAACCTTTCTGTGCCTTGATGTCCCCATCCGTAAAGGAGGTGATGATATTAGTGCAGGATTAATATACACAAAATGCTCAGATGAGTTCCTGCCAGGGAGTAAGCTTAAATGAATGTTAGGTGTCATCTTGATGAGGCCTGTCCAGCCATCAGCTCTGCCTTTAAGACATGACTCTCCTGCTTTCCTCATGAGGGGTCACAAGGTCAGATAATCATAAGCACACAGGAGGCTGGAATTTTTTACCCATTAACAGTGGCCTGTAATCCTTCATATTGTCCCAGCCTCCTAACGTCATTTTAGTGGAGCTAAAGTTCCCTAGCTCAAGATTTGAGTATGTATTCCGTTCAGCTCTAACAATGACTGGGCCAAGCCGGCTGGCATGACCCTCCTGCTCTCTAATACTTCCCGTTTCTTAGTAGTAAATCAGGCAGCAAAGAGAAAAATGTTTTGCTGATAAAATCTCAGGGCCTGGGGGCTTAGGTTGCCCACCTGGGAACTTGGGTGTTAGGAATGAGGTCTGCTCCTCCTGTTCGAGAACGCTGCATGCAAAAAGAGGGTGCCTGAGAACAAGAGAATAATGCTGATGCTAGAATTCCAAGCATGAGCAGGTGCCATGCCTTATTTAATGGCAGTCAAACCCAAAGACCCAGTCTCGCTAGTCTGAAGTTCCCCTGCCCCTCAGATGGGAGAACAGAAGGATCACCGTGCTCAAAGCCCAGCCTCTATCCCGTTGCCCAGGCCTTGCTGTGTAACTTGGGCATGACGCTTCACTTCTCTGGGCCCTGAGTAACCAGCTCGTTGTCTGCTGTAAGGACGTGAGGCCAGAGGACCTCTATGGTCCCTTCATCTCTGACCCTGTATGAACTGGTCTTCCTGACATAAAAGGATGACAAACCCAAGTCTCTGTCCCCGGAAAGCAGTGCCTCTGGGGTTGGTACGACCACACGTCTGGGTTCGTAACTCATCTAAGTAAAAGCTGTCACCATCCCACTGACCGTGAATGAGATGCTTTTCTGGACTTCTCCGAGCTGTAAGAAACTTGATGGCAAATTAGAAGTCAATGGCACTTTTGATTTTTTTGAGAATCCTAGGACACCACACCTTCTGCTGATTGCTTCCGTGGCACGCACCGGTTTCTGCCACCCCGGAGCAGTTATTTTGATGTGCACATCTTCTCTTGCTGGGTGACAAATTCTTCTGGGCAGGGAATGAGCCCCATGTCCCACTTAAGGCCTAGTGCAGAGTCTGCCCCAAAGAATATTCTCGTGGAGCATCAGCTGCTGCTGGTCAGGATGTCTTGAGGTGGTTCCTGAGAGCCAGAGCTGGGAGTCACCTGCACACGTAGCTGCCTCTCCTCAGGCGACCCTCCAACCTCGGGGGGGGGGGGGGGGAGGGCAGGGGAGGTTACACAAACTCAAAATGCCTACAGAAGTGTAATGAACCAGCGGAGGGGGCCGGGCGATAGCCCCTAAGAGCACCCTGCTCTGTCTCCCACGCTGATCCCCACCCCTGTCGCTCCCTGGACCACCCGGGGAAGCTTGACAAAGCCTGAGGCCTGGGTCCTACCCTGCAGAGAATCTGATTTAGCTGGTTGGGGCTGCAGCCCGGACAGTGGGACCTTTAACTGCTTCCTGGGTGATCCCAATGTACAGCCAAAGGCAAGAACCTTTGGTTGAAAGACTCTCAAAAACTGTAAAAAGTTCAAAGGCGCTGCACATCTGCACAAGTCCACCACTCTGCTTCCTTGTGGGAAGGAAGGCCCTGCCGACGATCCGGCAGTGACTCTCCTTCTTGGGACCATGTCTCACGAGACCCACGGCAGGGCCTCCATTCAGAGCAGCAGGTCTCTAGCCTGGCGGCGGGGGGGGGGGGGGGGGGGGGGGCGGAGGGGGCGGCTTTCACAACACACTAAGAATCGGGGGGGTCCGCATCTCT